GGATTGGGGGGTCCTGGGGGTAGACGGGGGGGGATTGAGGTGTGGGTGACACTGAGGGTGACAACAAAGGGGGTGACACTGAGGGTGACAATGTGTGTGGGTGACAATGTGTGTGGGTGACAACGAGGGAAGGGGACAGGGTGACACTGGGGGACATGTACCATGTGTGGGGGGGTGACACAGGTGGTGTGACACTGTGAGAGGTGACACTGCAGGTGTGACACTGGAGGTGACTCGACGGCCCTGTGTGTGACACTGTGAGCGTGGGGGTGACACCCTGGGCGACACCGTGACTGTGTGTGTGACACCGTGACACTGTGACTGTGTGTGTGACACTGTGACACCGTGACTGTATCTGTGACACTGTGACACTGTGACTGTGTGTGCGACACCGTGACACCATGACTGTGTGACACTGTGACACCGTGACTGTGTGACACTGTGACACTGTGATTGTGTGTGTGACACCGTGACACCGTGACTCTGTGTGTGTGACACCACGAGTGTGACACGGTGAGTGACACGGTGACACTGTGACTGTGTGTGTGACACTGTGACACCGTGACTGTGTGACACTGTGACTGTGTGTGTCACACCGTGACACCATGACCGTGTGACACTGTGACACCGTGACTGTGTGTGTGTGACACCATGAGTGTGACACGGTGAGTGACCTGGTGACACTGTGACTGTGTGTGATGCTGTGTGTGTGACATTGTGTCTGTGACACTGTGACTGCGTGACACTGTGACACTCTGACACTGTGTGTGTGACACCGTAAGTGTGACACGGTGAGTGACACGGTGACACTGTGACTGTGACACTCTGACACTCTGACACTGTGTGACACCAATGACACCGTGAGTGACCCGGTGACACTGTGAGTGAGACAGTGACACTGTGACTGTGTGTGACGCTGCGTGTGTGACATTGTGTCTGTGACACTGTGACTGTGTGTGACCCTGTGACACTCTGACACCGTGTGTGTGACACCACGAGTGTGACACTGTGAGTGACACGGTGAGTGTGACACCGTGAGTGACACTGTGACAACACCGTGACTGTGTGTGTGTGACACCACGAGCGTGACATCATGTCTGTGACACCGTGACTGTGTGTGTGACACCGCGAGTGACACCGCGAGTGACACTGTGACACTCTGGCACTGTGTGCGTGTGACACTGTCACAGGCGTGTCACCACCCCAGTGCGGGTGACAGGGTGTGTGTGACACCGTGACAGCTGTGACACGGCAGGGGAGGGGTGTGACATCGCCACGGTGGGGGTGACACGGGGTGACAACACCTGTGGTGGCACGGTGACGTGTGTGACTGTCACAGGGGGGGTGACACGGGGTGACAACACCTGTGGCGGCACGGTGACACGTGTGTGACTGTCACAGGGGGGGTGACACGGGGTGACAACACCTGTGGCGGCACGGTGACACGTGTGTGACTGTCACAGGGG